CTTGATGCACTGTTTGCACTTTGTTTTGTTTTTTACACTTGTTTTACAATCAAGAGACTTTCTGTAAGTAAGAATTCCATTGTACCAGCACCGGTTACATATGGCAATAAAGTTCAAGTTCAAGTTCAAGTTCAAGAAAGACTACTGAAGCTAAAATTATCCTGCAGCTAGGATAACACCTTTCCCCTTCTCTCAATGACAGACTAATTTTCTTCTAAATTCTCTCTATTCGTTGTAGGTTTCATTTTACATCTCTCTTTACCTATCCTGACTTTACATTACCTGATTGGCCACTCTGTCTGATTGGCCACTCCTTCTATCCCCTGCTCCCGCCTCCTGTTCCTCCTCTCTCCCAGCTTTTGTTCTATGCTACATTACCTTTGCTGACTGCCCTGTCTTTCTCACACCTGAAGAAGGCTCCATGGCTGAAACATTGTGTTTTCTTTCTTCTCTTTTCAGCATGGAATAAACCTATCACTTGTTCCTTTGCAGCCTACACATGCTGACGCAGCTACCCACCTGAACTATATTTTATATATATTTGTTTTAATAGTGTCTTTTTGGGCTTGTTGGAAAAAACAACATTCAAAATATAATAGACATTCAGCAGTAACAGACACCCTTTCCCCTATTAGTCCACCAAGCAGACAGTTTACTGTATTACCAATGACCAAACTATTATCAGGGAAAACTGAAGGGTGAATGGCAACTTGAGGAAACAAATAAAGGTGATAAACAAAGGCATACGACATATTGTAACAATTTCAGCTAAAGAGATCAAATAAATATATTGTCTGGAGTTACTCTGAATTGACTTTCACACATCTACTACATCACAAATGGACAAAATCAACAACATCAGCTCTATAACTGACAGAAGATGAGTTTCTGGACCGTTTCAGACAAGCCGCTTATCCACAGTACAATTAAAAGTCCAATCTAATATATGAATATCGTCAGATGCACATTAATTTAAGACATGTCATAGAGTTTGACAAAAAAAAACACTCTCCCTTCCATTATTGGAAACATATAGTTTCAATAATATGAAGTTCTTGTTACCTAAACTAGATTGAACTTTACTTAGTCTCCCAGGTATAATCTCTGTAAAATTTAAATTAGAAGACTTAAAGCTAGATGAAAATAAAATGCCCACCCCTACACTAAAGTTTTTACAATTAATAAGAAAAATGTCCCCTTCCAATCATTAATCCAATCAGCATAATTGAAATTCAGTAAGTTTCTCCTGTAGGAAAGCTGTATTAATCCTTTTCAATATAACAGTAAGTAATCAAAAACTGCTGCCCTTTTGGCTATGTGTCTCACCCCGCTGACATTCCAAGTGCAAACCTGATGAGTTTCTATTACAAGGAAAGAGAAATAACAACAGGCATAAACACAGAAAAAGATAAATAAATTATCAGGAAAATCATTCTGAAGACACTAAACATCATTATTATCTCTCAGAGCAGAACAAACTTTACTCTGGAGAGTTTTTATCCTAGCACACTCTTTTCTTTCGCCCTTACATCGCTTTCTGTGCAGGACAGAACTTCTGGGCAAGTCTGCAGGCTTTGAAACAGAGACCCATTCACTCATTTTTTTCTCTTTGATAAATTTGTGCTTTGCAGTACTACGGTACATTTTTTTATACTTTGCTCTTCCTCTCAAGTGTGCGGAATTTGCCCATCCTAGTGTTCACAACAGTACTTGGAGGTCCAGCTCAACCTCTGATTCCTTGTTGTCTCCCCATTTCTTACACTTCTTAGTAAAGTATCCTTCTTGGCCACACACAAAATACTGCATAAGTTCTGAGATCCACCTGAACATGAAAAGCAATATTTTCTGTAGTTCTCCATTTGGATTATGTTACAGCTCATGTAACTGTCTCCTAAAACTACAACTTATTTAAGATCAAGAGACACAGACCCCAACTGAATCATTCTGATGCCTTGACAATTTCTCCATATAGTTTCAATTTATTGATCAATAATTAATATTTCAAGAAAGGCAGCACATTTGAAATTAGCAGTTTTCGTATTGAGACAAAAAGGGGCTAAAGAAATTAAGACCTTGTCAATTATTAAGCCTTTCTGAATTTAAGTGACATCAATGAAGAAATGCCATTTCTCCAGTCAGCACTGAACCTTTTGTCTGTCACTGAAGAGTGTGCAACCTCTTAAAGGTACAGTAAGCAATTCAGTGGCTAACAGGTTAGAGGGATCTATCTTCCTTTTTTTATTCTCCCCATAAGGGTACAGGATAGGATATGCTTCTAAGAGTGATGATGTAAATATAAAATTCGTGTTTTTTAACAATTATCAAACATAATAGATGAAAGCCATAGCAGAAGAACCACAACAAGTCTGGGTGTTCACATTGTAAACCCAGTCCCTGTGTCCTTTAAATTACCATTACTTTAAAGCACCAGTGTTTAAAAAAGGGCTTTCTAAAGAATGATTAACTTGTGTTATGACCCCAAGTGTCTAGGGGTAAAGGGGTGTAACATTTAGGATAATTTATTTGATGCAGGTTGGTTCTGGTGAGGGGGTTAGGAAGCGTGATAACAAG